ACAGTACTATAATTGAAGGGCCGGCCCAGGAAAAATGTACTCAGGTTGCCTGAACAATTTCAAGAAAGTATGTAACACAGGGAGGGCTTTGAGAACTCACTATTTCTGGAAAAGATAGACAAATAAATGGAAATGTATAATTCTGTAAATGTACTGCATTATTTTACTATCCTTAAAGGGACCCCATAGACACCCAGATCACTTCATGTCACTGAATTGGTCTGGGTGCAGTGCCCATGTCCCATTAATCCTGCAATTGTAATTATTGATAAACTACTTAAGCTAGGTTAACCCTAGCTCTAGTGTCTGTCAATCAAACAGCCACTAGAGAAGGGGTACGCAACCTATGGCACGTGTACAATGCACGGCACTCAAGGCTGTTGAGCCAACGGGGCTCTGGCCTATCAGGAGTCCCAGTGAAACTTCAGATATCTGCTAATATGAAAAGGTGGTGAAGGACAATCATCAATGTATGCATTGCAGCATGTAGAGGAACTGATCTCAAATCACTTCCTCCCAGCACTTGTGAATGGGAATCCTGACTGGAGTACAGCAGACCGCAACTGCTGTTGCAGCTCCTGTCCTTGACCTGTACCTGGCTAACCTGGTCCCCACTGGTCTCCAGGAAAGCCATCCACACTGCTAGATATACACAGACCTGCAGAATAAGCCTCCCCCTCATAGAAATACAAACAGCCCACACACAAACATACACACAATCCCCACAAACTCAACACCACTGACAATCCACACACATGCACACACTCTCACATACAATATCCCAAACAGCCCCACACATACACACACAATGTGATATATCCATCCACACAGACAATTCCACAAGCAGCCCCCATACACAGCCCACATTCATAGGTATCATACACGATACCTCAAACCACTCATGAACATATACAATATACGCACAAATACAATGATACAAAGCAACTGCAGCATTAATAATACAGATAAACACAATATCACTGCTGTATCTACCAATTTAACCCAAACACTCGCTATTACTGCTGCATTTACCAATTTAATCTAAACACTCGTTATCACTGCTGTATTTAACCAATTTAATCTAAACATTAACCAAAACAATTACATTCCTATTTACCACCCTTCTATTTAAACATGTATAGATAACCCAAAATGCCTACTTTCTCTTATCCCTCTTATCATTCTTCCGTTTTTTTTTTGTTTTTTTTTGAACTGCAACCACTCATGCACTTTACACAGACACAAATCAAGCACCTACTGGACAATGGGGTTCCCTCGTTAGAGCCCTCCCACCCCAGTTTGGTTTACACAAAAATACCCCCTGGTCCCTATGGGTCAATTCCCCCCTTTCCCAGGCAAGCATACATACATACATACAACAATAATACATAAGGGTTTCAATTGCAATACAATCACTAGAAATAAGAGAATAGTATGCACAAAATCATAGCATAGACATGTTAAATAGACAATAAAATAAAACATTCAATAGCTTATCAAAAGGTCAACATTTAAACACTGGTCTCCATCTGATATTCTATCTGTGTTCCAATGTCCACCTCTGGTTTCTGCTACATCTGAAAAGGTTAGGAAACAGATCAGGATTACTTTCCTAGTCACTTATAGCGTATACTGCAAATATTTTACTTAGAATACATATACATATACATATATATATATATATATATATACATATATATATATATATATATATATATACATACATACATACATACATACACACACACAGACATGTAAACACATTCCTTCAGCTTTTCATTTTATAAACAATTTGTTCAACAAGGTAACTTTCTTAATTTTCTACTCGGCTCTTAAAATAAACAATCAGCTAATAGCTGCTTTCTGCATCTTCCTTGCAATTCAGGAGTACACAACACTAAAAGTCCAATACTCAGTACCCCCTAGCCTAAATTCCCCACCCGCTACTGTAACTAAGTTTACAGCCCACGTTATGGCAGTTCACCCGCTAGGCAGATATGCTCAGTACCCCCTAGCCTAAGTTCCCCACCCGCTACTGTAACTAAGTTTACAGCCCACGTTATGGCAGTTCACCCGCTAGGCAGATACACAATACACCCACGTATTACTTATTTTATATTTCCTGGTCTCTCAGGGATATACAATAGCTAATCCCCTTCCCAGGGCAATATAAAACTGACACAAACTTTTAAGCAATACAGGATTTCAAATGGACTTATGAGTAACAAATTTCTAGCCAACTTAAACATGTTTAATAACTTTGGTTAAATTATAGAGGAGTGAACCAAAACACCTCTTCCGCCTCTGAAAGGATATAGGTCAATATGTCTCAAAGTTCAACACTTCTGACAGCTATGAGTGACTCCCTATTAATTTCTAGCCTTTCCACGGACATGCTTGCACCTCGCGGCTAAGGGCCTGCACAACTAACCACCCTGTGATGGCAGTGGCTTTCCGCATGGGGGTGACCGCCCCCGCAAAATTATAGAGGAGCAAACATACAGCAGCCTCTTTTCCGGCTCGATTAAAGGTTCTGGGCCAATATGTCTGCAATTTAACCAGTACACTCACATATCACTTATTGTATATTTCCTGGTCTCTCAGGAATTTCTATTAAATAGCGTATCCCCTTCCCAGGGCAATATACAACAAAAACTAGTCACCAAGGGTCTCTATGGTCATGATAGGCCACCCTACCACTAGTGTAATACGCCCTTTTTTAAAATATATTTCCTGGTCTCTCAGAGATTTTGCCTATCCCTTTCCCAGAGCAATATATATAAACAATTATAAATAAGTTACAAAACGCTACTTATAAGTAATACAGGGTTTCAAATAATAATACAGGATAGAACTGCACAACAACTATTGGGTATGCTCCCCCTTATCCGGACACGTTTAAATACCCCCTAGCTCAGGTTCCCCACCCGCTACTGTAACTAAAATCACAGCCCACGTTATGGAGGTTCACCCGCTAGGCAGATACACCCTAATTCAAAGCATGGAAATATTAAAATCAGTTATAGATGGCTTCTAAAATAATATAAATCTTAATCTGAGCCCCTACACTTACTTTGTTAAAAATGCTAACTTGTTAAAATATTCAAACTAAATAGGACAAAGGAATTATTTTACCATTTTTTCAGTTCATTTGTTACCAGTTCCTGCATATGTCCAGTAATTCCTTAGTCCTGGATAATAAAGCTGAAAAACTCCACAAATTGATTAGTTTAGGCAATTACATTTACAAAACAATGCAGTTTATTTTTTCTCATACAGGCAAGACTACCCACCCCCAACAAGGACAAATTCTCCCCCAGCTGTAGCTGAAAAGCATGGTCACACAGCTGTTAAAAAGGTGGTCTCTCCTTCATGAGTCAAAATCATATATATATTTATACTAATATTCTGTGTATACGCACACATAAATCTATTATTCACTGAATCTGCTTTACTAAACTTATCTTTTTCTTAACTACTAATTTACTAGACAAATCCATGAATGCCAAACAAATGTAAATTAGTACACAAACAGGGTCAAATTTAGCAATAAAACCTGGTGAACTAGTTTAGTGAAAAGTCTTTTCCTATGCAAATGGTAGCAAACAATGAAACTAGGCCTCAACTCATTCACACCATGTGGTCAATGGTGGATTAAAATCCACATGGTCAGACAAAAGGTAAAGTATATATAAGTTTTCTCCTATATACAAATGACCAAAGATTGGTAACAAGCAACACAATAATTCATCACTATGTTCTACAGCAAGAGATACATTAAAAACAAATATCTAATCCCTATTTGCTATCTGCATTCATTCCATTAAAACCAAATCATCATTCATTTATTCATTTGTATACAGATAGACAATTTACAGTATGATTTAAGCAAAATGCATAACATTTATATTTTCCCCAATATTCAAGCATAATCCTGCCGACTACGCCAAATGTTGTGGCCGTGACCTAAATATGAATATTAATCTCTTAATACATAATAATTAAGCAATACGGAACAACATTAATATTTTTATAATTCATGGTATTATGGTCGAATATGTGGATAGAAAATACACAAAACGTTGTAATATTAAATGTATATTTAATATGACTATAATAAATAAACAGATGCTAGCAGAATGTCAATTTACTACAATAATGATAATACAAAACTACAACATATTACTTACAAAAGGTTGCTACATGTTACACAACATTTTACTTACAAGGCCCCAGCCCTTTGGCTGGGGTTAAGTCAGAGCTGGTACTACATGATCAGTCAGGTACAGGCAAAAAGAGAGAGCTAGCTTCTCCTAACATCTGGTTTTTATTCAGTGTAAGTAGGCTGGCCTGTGATGTCACTGCCAGAAGCACAGGTCTTCCTACACACTCACCCTAGTGGTGCCCCCAAAGCATTACACTAAATATGCTTTACTGACATCTAGTGGTGCGTCTAAAGCATTAAGCTCATTATGCTTTTATTATGACAAAAAGTCATTAATTAATAAATACCATTACAACCTCTTAAGGACAGAGCTTCAGAAGCTTGTCTTTCACTTAATGACAACAGCATTTTTTTCATTTTTTGCTGTTTGCGTTCAACTGCAATTTGCATTTTACTAATTTATTGCACCGACACATTATATATAATTTTTTTAAAGGACAGAAATTGCTTTCATTTGATGTAACACACATATATATATAAATGCTTATTTATTATAAAAAAAATACAGAAAAATGCAAAAAAAATAAAATTTTTGAGTTTTTTTTTTTTTTTACAGTTTTTGCAATAATAATGTGTGCATAATTAGTGAAGGTTAAGGAAAGTAATTAAAAATAAATTCATTTGGGGGGGTGGGACTTCCGGTCCAACGGAGCGGTCGCATGTTGTGAGAGCTCTGTGATCGGATCGGCCTAAACAGCGACCTAAAAAGCGGCAGACAGCCTATACCACTCCACAAAAGATACCAGAGGTAAGGGGAGCACCCCCCAACCCCAACATGGCACCTCCAAAAGCCTTACGAGCATCGGATTTCTTCCGACAAGGGAAGAAAGACCGGCTTCGCTCTGACCAAGATGGCGGCGGCTCCCACTCACCAAAGCACACATCTGATGCAGGATCTGATAATGAGTCAAGGCAAGCCTCTACAGGTGTCCTCTCTGTGTCAGAGAAGAAACTTGCTGCCATGCTCCATGAGCTACGTACCTCTATGAGAACTGACTTTCAAACAGCGGTCTCAGACATGCGCAAAGACCTCCTGAAAGTGGGGACACGTGTAAACGTATTGGAGGAAAAAACAGACGAACTATGTCAAGCAAACTACGCAATAGTAGAAAAATAGCAGAAACTAGAAAAAGATAACAGGCGCCTGATGGAAAAAATGCCGCAACAACATCCGCGTGCGTGGAGCGCCTGAAAAGATAACACACGAAGAACTGCCGTCCTACCTACTGCAGCTCTTTCAGGCAATTCAACCTGCCCTGGCGCCAGCAGATCTTTGCCTTGATTGGGTGCACCGAGTACCAAAACCCAGCAACCTCACACAAGATGTCCCCAGGGACATAGTGACTAGACTACACTACTACAGCGCAAAGGAAGCTATACTTACAGCACAAAGGAAGGCTTCCGAGATGCCACCCACCTACGAGGTTATATCCCTATATGCTGACCTATCTCTGACGACGATGTCCAGGAGACGGGACTTCATCAACGTCACAAAGTGCCTCAGAAATCACAAAGTGCCCTACAGATAGGGCTTTCCCACAAAACTCTTGATATGGCGAAATGGATCTCTGACCAAAATTGAAGACCCGCCCCAGGGAATGGAGACACTCAAATCCTGGGGATTGTTCCCCGACGAGACCGCGACCACCTCTCCGGCCCCACTACGGAAAGTGGCCACGAGCTGGACAAAAGCCTAGCAAACAACGTCACCAAGGAGTTCAAGCTACCATTATTGCCTACTCAGGTGAGTTTCAGCTGAATCTCCATGGCCTGCGCAACCCCAAAGACCGATTTCCACGCTATGGCACTGTGGTGACAAAAAGGGTTCTTCACCTGCATGTGAGTACAATTGCGCCCTTGCCCTAATAAGCCCAGCTAATGTGACACTATCTCTCCCACCACTCCGTGCTTCGGAATTATTGCCCCACTCGAGAGCCAGATACTTTGTCCGAAGGAGAGACTTGTATGGACTTAAAATGGCAATAGGCGAAGGAATTCTCTGCTCATGATCCACACCCTGATATGCCCCACAGGGAATAGATGAAGCGCACAAGCTGGCCTATAACTACAATTTAGTCCTTGTTACCACCGGCCTTTACCAATTCTCCCAAGGGGCTCCTGCAAGGGCCAACCCTCCTCTTCTCATCCCTTATATGTGGTTGGGCCATGAAAGGCGTAAAGGCCCCACCGAATGTTGGCGAACAACCCCACCCCCCGAAACTCTCTCGGGACACCACCCGCCACTGTAGCCCCCTCTCAGAGCAGTAGAGGGTGCGCGCTCAGCGGAGGGGCCCTCCACATAATGATTTTTAGCTATTTGCTTTGTATACACTTTGTTTATGTTATCTATTTTTGTTACAAGTGTTAAGTTGTGTTATATCTCGTGCCCCAGACCTACCCCTGAGATGCTCCCTTCCTACCACAAGATACGTACTGAGGTGCTCACTAATAACCTCATTAAGTCTTATTACGCAGAATCCACTGGGACTCCCACACCCACCCAGATGTGCCCTAGAGGCGCCTACCCCTACTGCAATGACCCCCCCTAACAAATTTCTCTTAGTATACCTGAATGCCCATGGCCTAAATACTCTGCAAAAATGCAAGCTGGCCCTGTCCCAACTAAGGACCCTGCATGCCTCAGTAGCATGCATACAGGAAATCAACTTTTCGACTACGAACCCCCCAAGGTTTTTGTCCACCTCCTATCCATTAGCATATCACGCCCTAGCACCTAACAAAATAAGGGGAGTTAGCATATTGTTCCACTCGGACTGGCACTTCCAATGTGAAAGGGAATACAAAAGCCCTGACGGTAGGCTCCTGATTCTAGTGGGCCTCCTAAATTACGCCCAGGTGACTATAGCAAATTTATACGCCCCCAACGCCAACCAATACGACTTCCTATGGAAGGCACTGAGACGGGTTGACAAACTAAAAAAAAGACAGACGATGACCTGCAGGGACTTTAACTGTGTGCTAGACCCTGACCTAGATATGTCAGGAGCCCCAGGCTCCCACCCAAGATCCTCACTCCTAGGAGACAAACTGACGACACTCCTCCACTTCCATGGCCTACATGACACTTGGCGGGCACTTTACCCAGCCTTTTACTCCAGGGTCCATGACCAGTACTCCCGCATAGACATGTGCCTGGTCGATGCTAAAGCCCTGGATACCCTAGCGGAGGTCAATATTGCCCCGATAACTTGGTCGGACAACGCCCCCCTCATATCATCATTTACCACACTACATCCAGTCCGAGGGCGGGGCCAGTGGAGACTCAATGAGTCATCATAGACAATCCCGAGAGGGCTTCTGAGATCAGGAGATCCCTTACACTACTTTGTGGACAATCAATACACTGACACAAACATCACCACGACGTGGCTAGCCCATAAGGCAGTCATGCGAGGCGCACTCATACAAATGGGGGCGAAACGGAAGTGCCAACTCTTTGAAAAAAGTGACTCCTTTCTGAATGATCTAAAACTGGCCGAAACACAACACAAAGCCTCCCCCACTGAACCCCATAGACTGAAGGTCCACAAAATTAGGACCACATTAGAAGCACTACAAATGCAACAAGTCGAGCGAGCCATCAGAAAAATGAAAACAACCAATTACATGCAGGAGAACAGGGCGGGTAAATTACTGGCCTCTCAGCTTAAGGAAAGAATCTCCCAGGTAAAAATCCCCTATGTCAGGGATGGTCATGGAACTAAAGTTATGAACCCAGCGACTGTAGACAAATTCGCTGCTTTTACGCACAACTATACAACCTCTCCGGTGATCCCACCCAGCATCAACCCACCCCTCAGAACATCACCACCTTCCTGGAGGGTATACACCTTCCCCAGCTCTCCACTGAACAGGCCACAGCACTGACAAATCCGATCCTACCCACCAAGATATCTAGGGCATTACGTGACATCCCGAGACTCAAGACCCCAGGCCCACTACTATAGGGTTTTTGAGGACCTACTACCCCCCCATCTCACGGCACTATTCAACCACATTTTAGACATGGGCAACATACCCTCTGAAATGTTAGAAGCCACAATTGTCACACTTCCCAAACCAGGCAAATCCACAGACTCATGCGCTAACTTCCGCCTGATTTCCAAGTTATTTGCCAAGGTCCTGGCGAATAGAATCCGCCCCCTACTATATCAACTTGTCTCACCTGAGCAGTCAGGCTTTGTTCCCAGATGCCAGGTAGAGGAAAACACCAGACGAGCCCTGGACATAATGGAACTCATGAACTCGGACAGCTCACAGGGACTTATGATAGCACTGGACGCGGAGAAGGCCTTCCACAGGCTCCACTGGGGCTATATGTCGGAGGTCCTCCGCATGCTTAACTTCCCACCCAAATTCTTGACTGGACTACTATCCCTATACTTTTCCCCTCAATCTACAGTCATGAGTTCCGAATTCATCTCTAGACGCTTTGCGTTCACGAAGGGCACACGGCAGGGATGCCCACTTTCACCCCTCATTTTTATCCTTGCACTAGAGCCCCTAATCCGCAAAATCAAGGCTGACCCTAACATTGCGGGCATCCCCTCCCCAATTGGCCAACAAAAACTAGCAGTGTTTGCAGATGACATCCTCCTCTTTCTCACTAACACCTCTGACTCCCTCCAACTCTATTACACCTATTACAAGACTACGGCCGGGTCTCTTACTATAGAAACAATGTGGAAAAGACCCAGGTGCTGTCCATGAACTTGCCCAGATCCCAACTCGAGTCTCTAAAAACACTCTACTTCTTCGAATGGAGGAAAGACACCCTCTCCTATTTAGGCACACAATTATCGCCCTCAAAACACAAGCTCATAAAGCATAATCATGGGGAACTAATGGTGGACATAGAGTGACGGTTGGAGAGCTAGGGCAACAAAAACATCTTGGCTAGGATGCATTAATGCCATCAAAATGGTCATCCTCCCACAGATTCTATTCCTTTTCAGAGCTCTCCCGATTAGCTTTCCTAAGTACACCCTCCGGGCATTCCAAAGCCTCCTTAATGCACACATCTGGAAAATAAAACCACCAAGGGTATCTCTAGCAAACATCAGCATGATCATGGGGGGGGGAGTAGGAGTTCCCAACATAACTAAATATTACCTAGTGACAAATCTTTCCCAGATGGCATGCCTTCTGTCCTCCTCAGACTACCCAATGTGGTATCACCTGGAGAGCGCGTTCAGCGCACCTCTTTCCCTCAGTGACCTACTGTGGATCCCCGCCAAGGCCCAACCCCGCCATCCCAAAACCCTCACGACAACGAGAGGGTCACTTCAGTTGTGGCTAAGATGAGCCCCAAAACTGAACAGCAGGAACATAGAGGCCCTCGTCCCACTGACTAGTCTTCAGCGCCGCACTCACGACCTCCCCCTGCAGAGATGGATAGAAAAAGGGGTGACCAGAATATCACACCGTCTGGGAATTGAGGGGTTATTGCCATTCCCCGACCTCCAGAGGAAATACCTTCTCCCTAACTGTGAAATCTTCACATACCTCCGTATAAAGCATATAGTAGGAGACGTTAAAAACATAACAACACACATGCAGCCCCACAACCAATTTGATATGCTATACCTGGGCCAAAAAAAAACCAAAAAACCACCATCCTTGTGTTACCACCGCCTACTAGACTTAGACAGACCGACAAAACAATCCTATATGTTACAATGGGAAAGGGAGCTGAATAGTACATTTGAGACGCACAGGTGGGTGGGGGCCATGACACTAGGGAAAAGGGCTACACATTGTATAGATCATGTGGAAGCAGCCTACAAGATGTGGCTGAGGTGTTAATATATGCCCCAAAGGCTGGCCCAAATATACCTGGGCACTCAAGCAACATGCTGGCGATGCAACCAACAGGAAGGCACTCTAAGCCACATATTCTGGAACTGCCCTGCATTCAGCCAATACTGGCAACGAATCCAAGACCTAATAAAATCCAAAGTAGGGAAAACCCTGCTACCTACCCCTGAACATTACCTGCTCCATATGCTACCGCACAGTATTACGACTCACGAAGCATCACTAATCACCCACATCACACTAGCTGCAAAGCAATGCATAGCCGCCCTATGGAAATCC